CAATACAAAAAAATGAAAAGAGTGGCTTCAAATGAATGATTTCTACATGCAGAGCACTAAAAGGCACAAGGCCAACATCTGTTAAGAATTTTAACTTGGGCTATAAGATATCTAGTACAAGCTAGAAGAATGCTCCTAATCTGAAGTTTTTAATCATCCACTTGTTGGCAAAACTCTGCCATAGAAGATACTAAAGTTCATTACTTGTACATTTATCTGCTTCCTCATCAAAATATAACTGGTTGTTAAACTACCATAAAAACTGCTGATTAAACAAGCAGTTATTTCTGTACCTTGGCCTTCTTTCTCTCTCTCTCTGGCACAGATTTTCTTCTTGAGGTCCAGAACTTAGCCTCCCAATGACCTTCCACCAAGGAAAGACTGAAATTCCACGCTTCTTTCTCTGCTAAATATCACAGGATATCATTTCAAATAAGCACATATAAAAGCAATTCCTATATACATGGTTATAGTAAATGCATTGTCCTTTTTTTCCTAAATCTGCATATAGAACTCCAGAGTCTACTACTTATGAGAAGAGAAGATGGGCTATCCTTTTATTTCAAATAAATATGGGTAATCCTGGGCTTAAGACCATAATTGGGACTAGAACTTCTTCATTAAGCAATGCAGTCATTAAATGAGTCACACCCAATTCAGATCCCGATATATACAAAGTTATAGGCTGATTTCATTGTTAAATACTGATTACAAAATATTTACTTCCATTATAGCAAGTAGACTAAAAAGAATGTTAAATGAGCATATACATGAAGACCAAAATGGATTTCTCCTGACCAGACAAATCAGGAATAATTATATATTATCTAAAGATGCTACAATAGATGCATAATACATAATCTAATCTTAGACATTCCTCTCTATTCTGCAGAATGTTGCAGTTCTATTGCAAAACTAGATATAAATGCTTGTTCTCAACAGATTCTATGGAGATTCTCAGTAATCCAGGTCAGTTGTCCCAAAAGTGCTTTTTCAAGAGGCAACCGGACTTTCTTGGTTTTCTTTGAAGACTTTTCACTTCTCATCCAAGAAGCTTCTTCAGCTCTGACTGGATGGTGGGGAATGGAACGATTTATACTCCTTTCAGACAGCTGGTCCTTTGCATTCTTTTAGTCATTGAGGCCACCTGGAGTCACCTTAGTGCAAATGGGTTGTGGAGCCTTCTTGAAAGTGTTGAAAGGACTGTGTTGTAGACTGGAGATAGATTATTCTCAACAAATTCATTTCCATGTATGTAGTAATTACACAGAATTGGGTATATAGGGACTCATTTTATATGATACACTGTTATTGTTTAGTTGCTTTTCTCCAGTGAAACTCAATGTTCCCCGATTTTATTAATAATTTGTAATGTATCTTCAAGACCTTGTTTCATGTAATGGGTTAAGGAACCAGGCTGGAAAACAGATAAGCACAAAACCACCTGGGTGTCTTTGGTCCACAGGCACTTTCTCTTCTGGCTTCAGTTAACAATGACAAAATGAAGTGAAAATCTTGAAAACTTCAGGAATTAGTTCAGACAAGTTCCCCGGGGGTCGAAGGCATCAAACCCCACCACCACCAAAAAAAGATGTTTTTGTAGATTCCAAATTTTTGCCAATTTGATTTGGGTGTTAGCCAGTGGTGGTATGCTACCGGTTTGGCCTGGTTCTGCTGAGCCTGTAGCGGCGATGAGCAGTAGAGACCAAACCGATTCTCTCTGCCACTCTGCTGTTGGGCTCACCTGCCCGCTTGGGCTCCCATACTCACCTTTATTTTCTGCTTTTGAAGCGCAGCTGCTTTGTGTGGCACAGAAGAGTGCCGTGTGGCAGCTGCTGAAACGACCGGGAGAGTTCAGGCTTGCAGGAGTTGAGTTGGAACACCTCTGCGCCTATGCAAAATGTGTGCATGCACGCGAGGCACACCCACCAAAACGGTGGTAAAAGTTTTTGAATCCCACCACTGGTGTAAGCTCTATTGAACCATGTGATTCACCTCTATGAAAATGTTATGCACTAAGTTATGGACTGCATAAAAATCCAATATGGAAGCCGTAAGACTTTTTTAAAAGTCCGATGACAACAAAGAGTTACATATGAAAGGCTTCAAACATGTAGCTGTGTCTACCATCTTGACTTAAATTTTGACATCTCTGCTCCTAAAGTGATCGTAGCATTTCGAGTCACTAGAAGGGGTTTGCATCCATGTGCTGGTGTAGGAAATTATCACCCACCCCTCTCCTAGAAAAATGAAATATCCTAGGAAATGTTAAAAAGGCAGAATATTTCCCCTAAAAAGAGTAGAAACTCAGAAACAGAAACTCACCTCAGAAGCAGAAACTCAGCCACCCCACCCTTTGCTGATGGGCCATTACTCTGGCTTAGGCCAGCCTATTTTACGTAACAAAGATCTACTCTAGATAAAGCTACAATAGAAATTGCCCAAAGCCCTTTCATTACATCATCATCCAGCAAGGCTCAACCAAGCCTGGGACTTAGGACAGCCTACAGAGTTGCCCCTGCATGGCCCCATGGGAGTCTGACAACCAATCAGAATACAAGCTCAAATTCAAATCCCAACAGAGGACATAAAACCCAGGCACTCTCCGCATATCAGCCCTTCCTTCTTTTCCTTCATCTTGAAGCATGCGATTGTCCTTTTCACTTTGGAGCTCCAAGCCATGTGGTCTTGTCCACCATTAAACAATATTTCCAAGCATTCACCATGTTTCCAGTGTCTTTCTTCCCACTTGGAACTGAACCCAGAAGGATATTTCTTCCAACACTGGTTTATTCAATCCAATGGGTTGCATTCAGATAAAAATTGAGCCACATTGGATATGTTTGCAAACCACAGTGAAGCCCAAAACAATAATCTTTTACTTTAGCACTTGTACAAATCCAGCCAATGAATTCAGCTTAAGAAATCAGCAAAATTTACAAGTAACAGGCCTGAGCCATTTTATAACAGCAAGAGAAACATCACCAAATAGATTTAAAAAGCAAAAGCTGAATGGCCTCTGCATAGAAAATCGGCATGACAGAAAACTAGCTCCGGACTTTATATTCCTGGACATGTTTGCTTTTCTCTGTTCAGGCAAATGATGGATAAGACAATTGAAAAATTCTATCTCATTGGTTTCAGATCAGACAATCTAGGAAAAAGTTGCATTCTCTCTTTCTTGAGCCATATTTTTTTCTATGCTTTATCTTGAACTTTATAAACATTTTTCTAACCTTCATTCCCTATCCCTTCATGAGGAGTCATATTTTGGAGTCATATTAATCACAACATACAGCTGGTTCACCTATCACAGCTGAAAAGGGTAATTCTGGATTGACAGAGTGACATATTATCAAATCAATAAACAACAGGGATACAAAACCTGTTAGAAACTAGAAGAAAGTTGAGTTGTGGTCCAGCTGGCGCTTTCAGCCCAATCTACCTCACTGGGTTGTTGTTCTGGGGAAAACAGGAGCAGGAAGGAGTGTTATGTATATTCACTACCTTAGGTTAGTTTTAAAAATAATAAAGTCAGGATTAAAATAAATAAAGACCATCAGCTCATTTTCTCAGGGAGGGGAGGGCCATTAAACATAGTGAACTAATAAATAACATGCCTTAAATCCTGACTAACATTACAAATAGTCCTGGTGTTGACCACAGTTGAGCCCAAAATTTATGCTTGCTAAGTGAAACATTTGAGTTTTGCCCAGGGGTGGGATACGACAGAGTTAACTATCAGTTTGGGATTTACAAGCTTCCTTGCACGCTGCAAGCTGCATGCCTGTAAATCGTCATCAGCACGCTGCCTGCAGACAAGCAGCCTTTGAAACAGCCCTCTTTTCCTGCTTTTTTAACTGCAGCTGTGCCTCATTCAGCAGCTGAAGTTGAAAAAGCAGAAAATAAAGATCAGGTAAGATCCCAAGTGGGCGGGTGAGCAAAAACACCAGCAGACATAAAACCAGTTCTATGTCTGCTGCTCTTCAGAGCTACCAGTTCTACAGAGGTGAACAGAACTGGTAGAAACCCACCCCTGGTTTTGCCCCATTTTATGACCTTTCTTGATACAGTTAAGTGAATCGCTGCAGTTTTAACTTAGTAACACAATTAAGTGAATCTGGCTTTCCCCACTGACTTTGCTTGTCAGGTCGCAATAACCCCAGGACACGTCATAACTATGAGTCAGTTGCCAAGCACCGAAATTTTGAGCATGTGTCCATGGAGATACTGTAAGATTGTAAGTGTGAAAAACAGTCAGAAGTCACTTTTTTCAATGCCATTGTTGTAAATTGTCCCAAAGGTGCTCTCCCCCCCTCCCCCCCCAGGCAACTGGACTTTCTGGTTTTTCTTTGAAGACTTTCTATTTCTCATCCAAGAAGCTTCTTCAGCTCTGACTGGATGACGGGGATTTACACAAAGAATGCAAATGACCAGCAGTCTGAAAGGAGTATAAATCCTTCCATTCCCCACCATCCAGTCAGAGCTGAAGAAGCTTCTTTGGGTGAGAATCGAAATGTCTTTTTTTAAAAAAAACCAGAAAGTCCAGTAGCCTCTTGAAAAAAGCACCTTTCGGACAACCACGACTTGGATGACTGAGAGTCTCCATAGATAGGTCGTAAATAGAGGACTACTATCCTTATATTTCGTTCCTCGTTGCTTCCCTCGAAGTTATTCTCGCTCACATCCTTGCCTCCTTTACGGCTACGCGTAGCAAACCCCTAAGGGCCTCTTCCATCAAGGTTTATCGTTCGGTGAGAATAATAAACTTAGAGAATAGTAGTTCCCCAGGTTAAACCGTGGGTTGGTGGGCCGCCTCAGCTGAAGCGAGGACGGGGCGACGAAGCCAGTCTCCCGCTGGTGGGCCCAAATGGGGGGCCCTCGCACCATAAGAGCGAAGCTGGACGCGGAGAGCCAGCGGCGCGCAAAGGCGGCGGCGGCGGGGCGCAGTGCTGCGCTCCCTTTGGGCGCTAGAGGTCTCTGCGCGCTCACCTCCTCGCTGGCGGGCCAGGCGCGGCCATTGTTGCTCCGTCCTTCTTTCCCAACGAAGGAAGGAAGCCCAGCCGCCCGGAGAAAAGCCGAGGAGGGGAGAAAGGCGGCTCGCTGGGGATGGAGGGGGAGAGCACGACGGCGTTGCTGCCGGGCTTCCTCTTCGGCTCCCTCGCTTTCCGCCACCTCAGCACCGACTCGGATTCGGTAGGTAAAGCGGCCCCTTGGAGAGGTTCCCATGCGCGCGCCTACGCCTGAAATCGGGGTCCTGCTGCGCCCCGGATTGAACCCGCCTCGCCCCGCGGGGTTTTTTTTGGTTGGAGGGGACGGGGGGAAGAGGTAGCGCGATCCGGATGCCAAAAGGAGACTGGACGCCTTTCCAGCGCGCGTTATTTTTTTGGGGAAAGGCTTAGTTTCAGTTTCATTTCAGTTTCATTGGAGCCGGGTACCCCGCCGGCGTTTTTCCAAAGCGTTGCGCCTCTCTCTTTCTCTCCTCCCCCCCTAAAAAAAAACAAAAATATTTTGGACTGGAGAGTGAGGGGGAAATGGTGGGCTTCAGCCGGCTCTTTCCTCCAGGAGTTCCAAGCGGGCTCTTTGCCTACTATGGTTTCCCAACAACAACCCCGCGTGGTTAGGTGGGAAGGAGCGCGCAAGTTTGGCGCAGTCCCGTCCCCCACCCCCGCCCCAATCCATTGTTGAGCGTGGATTTGAATTGGGGATCTGCCTGGTTTTCCATCCAAGATCCTCAATGCTCCCAACTCATAAATACGGCGGGTTGTTTCAGGCTTGGCCGCCCTGGCTGAGAATCCTGGAGGAGTTTTCTCCGAGGTGATTTTGCAAATACCGAAGAGCGTTGCCTCCAACCCAGAGTTGCTGCCAACGGACCCGGGGATTTGTTGCAAAAGTTGAACGCGTTAGGAAAACCTTACGCGGGTGTTTCCAAACCCGTGGAGGATTGATTCGTGCCCGCGCGTGGCGTCCCTGTTAAGATCGCCCGTTGTGAGCAAATTTAGTTTGTTGCTCTGTTCTCGGTCGCTGCTGCGCGCAGTATTATTTTGAATTTCCCTCTGCTCAAATGCTGCTGAAGAACAGCCTCCGCCGACGCAAACTCTTCCCACTGAAGAGACGGGTTTGTTTCAGTGACTTTTTTAAAAAAAATTTTTTTTATTCATTTCCTTTTTTATTGCATTTCTTAGTGCTTAATAAGCATGGTGTTGTCTGGGTCTTTTAAGTTGCTTAACAATACAAATTCCCTTCTGTAGAAAGTTAGCACCCACCCCTCTCCTAGGAGAATGAAATATTCTAGGAAATATTAAAAAAGGCAGAATGTTGTATCTCCCTGGATGAGAAAAGGAGAAACATGCTCTTGGAAAGCAGACCCCACCTTTCTTAATAGCCCCAGAAAGACTGGTCCATCCTATCTACAAGACAAAGGGCCTTCAGTTCCAGATTAGCCACTCAAGATCCAAACCAGGACAAAGCCATTAAGCCTTAATAGGAATTGCCCAACACCCTTTCAGAACACAACCCTCTTCATTATATCATCATCCGGCAAGATTCAACCAAGCCTGGGACACAGACAGCCTACAAGGTTAGCTATAGCCCCCTAGGAATCCGACAACCAGTAGGATACATTTCTTGCATAGGAACAGGAAGCTCAAGGACTAGGCCCAAGAGAGGGTATAAATACCCACTCTGTTCTGCTCCATTAAACCCTCTTTCCAAGCAGTCTCCATGTTTCCAGTGTCTTTCTCCCTGCTTGGAATTGAACCCAGATGGATTCTTCCAACAGTTCTTACTCTTCCCCCCCTTTTCCCCAACCATTAGTAAAACAAATTCCACATATGATAATATTCTGCTTCCTTTGCAGGAAGCAATGCAATGCCATACCAAGGCTTCAGTGAGTCGCCCAGCTTTCCTAACTGGGGCCCTTTTTATGTCACTCATCCCCCCCATCTCACAAAAGTTTTAATTTACACAGAGCTGAAGAATAAAGATGGATGATCCTGTCCTGTACATTTGGGGAATGTAAAACAAAATAGAATGAATTGAAGTGTTGGGCTTTTGTAATTGATCCATCTGGCAAGGCTGCCAGGGAAGACCACAGAAAAAGGATGCTTTGACCAAGTGAGGCTATAGCTAGTCTTCAACTTACCATCACAATTGAGCCCCAAAATTTATGTTATGTGAGAAATTAGTTGAGTTTTTGTCCCATTTTACGACTTTTCTTGCCAAGTTTGTTAAGTGAATCACTGCAGCTGTTAAATTAGTAACACAGTTGTTAAGTGAATCTGGTTTCCTCATTGAGGGCTTCTCAAGGTTGCAAAAGGGGATCTTGGGACACTGCAATCATCATAAACATGAGTCAGTTGTCAAGTATCCAAATGTAAATCATGTGATCATTCTACAGTGGTCCTAAGTGTGAAAAACAGTCATAAGTTACTTTTTTCAGTGATGTAACTTCAAACAGTCACTAAATGAACTGTTGTAAATTGAGGGCTACCTGCATCACTCATTGGTTAGTTTGCAAAAGTTAAGATGTTTCCTTTGTTTTTCATCTTGCATTAATTACAACTCATTATAGACTTACCTCATGAAAACAATGTAAGTTGGTTGACTAATTATGAATACAAAGTAGTGCTTGACTTATAATTGAATGGCACCCAGAATTTCCATCCTAAATTATGACAGCCATAAGTCGAAACAGTCACATGATCAGACCAATTTTATGACTCTTTTTACAGTCATTGTTCAGCGAACCAATTGTGGGTGGGTGTTTTTTCCTGAAAACTGGAAACTGTCAAGAAATGTTGTAAATAAAGATGATAAAGGTGAATTAGTTGCCAAGTGCCCGAAATGCAGTAATTTGACCACAAAGCTGTACCCAACTGTTAGAAATTTGTCATAACTAGCTTTTGGGGGTACATCATAATTTCAAATTGTTGTTAAGCAACCAGTCAAAAGTTGAGGCTTACCTATACCTGTGATAGATGTTGCATCTCCCGCATGAAGGAGACTTTCAAATATTGGGTAAGAGTAAGAATTTACATTTGGTGACTGGGCATTTATTTCTGAACCTTATTGCTTTTAAATGAATTATTTGTTTATTCATATTGAGTGACATACGTATTTTTCCATATTAAATAAAACAATGTTTCCTTTCTAAAAAATAAAATTATTAACCAAAATCTGTTAATGAACCCTCATTTCAGTTGCTTGGCTCTCAAGCCTATACATGGATAAAATAGACCCTTGCTTCCAATTTTATGACGAGGAATAAAAATGAAGCAATAGAGAGAGCAAGACACTTAGAAAAAATATGTATCATCTTTTTGAAAGTTAGCAACCTGCTGCTATTCTACCACAGACCATTGTCTTTTAAAAAGTCGTCTTTTCAGCTTTTTCAGTAAAAAAATAAAAAAAATCTAGGCTTACATTTGAATTTAAAGCTTGGGATTTCCTAATACCGTCTTGGTTTGACACCTGTTTCCATTTTCCTAACAGGAAGGTTTTCTTCTTGGAGATGTGAAAGGTGAAGCCAAAAACAGCATTACCGACTCTCAGATGGATGATGTTGAGGTTGTGTATACAATTGGTAAGTTGTACACCAATTTACAAAATAAAGGGTGCAAAATAATTCTCTTTTGAAAAATTTCAGGCATAAAATTTTGGGGAATACCTGATTATAAAGTGCAGAAACTTGTTTCCAGCATTTTAATATAGTCTTCAGCTTGAAACAGTACAGTTGCAAAGTTGAAAGGATCCATTTTATTTAGAGAAGGCAAAGACTCAGGTGCATATTTAACCATGTTTAGTCACATATGAATGAAAGATTTTGCACACCTGAATAAGTTTTGCAAGGTTTCCCCACTATCACCACCATCTGCCTTCTAAGATTTCTAGGACCACAGAATCATTATATAGTAACAATAAAATGAAAATATGTGCTATTTTAATGTAGTTTTCAGAAAGAACAAAACGGAACACAATAGTTTTTCCCATTACATATAATTTCCTATATATTTCTTCCATTTCTGAAATGATTCCAAAATGTCTTTCCCTGCTGCATAAGAACTATAAAAGCAAGGATACAGATGGGTTTTTCTACACTGAAAAACTATCCAAGCCTTTAAAATTTGCCACCATTCCCATAAATGTTGATTTTCATTGATTTTTGAAATTGATTATAATGTTTCAAAAATCCACTTCATGCTGTCCTTCCAAAGCTTCTTGACAATATGACTCTTAGCTCATCTGCACTCATAGTAGAAAAACTGAAAGGTATTACGTGAAATACTAAAATAAATGATTTTTCCAGGATTTACAAATCTCACATGATTATAATACAAAGCCATGTAATGAATAATGTATGAATCATACATAACTTTTATTTTAAATATGAACATAACAAAAGCATATCTACATTACACTTTCTGGAAGAAGTAATATAATATCTTACTTTATTTCAGATATACAAAAGCATATTCCATGTTATCAACTCTTCAGGTAGGTAAAAAAAAAATCAATATTTTTTTATAAAGTGTAAGATGATAAATTTATACAGTGCAGAAGGGTGGAATTAATCGTGATTGTGAATTAGAATCACATCTGCAGGATAATCTCAAGTTCACAGAAGAATTAAATGGAAGCATCTGTTTGTACTGTGAGCATAACTAAGATCCTAAGATAGAGTGTCAAGAAAGGAAACTGCAGCCCTGTAGATTATTCCAATATAAACTTGACTGAGAGTAATGTGAGTTTTATATGGAAGTGAGTTCCATTTTTAAAAAAATTAAATCACCTTAAAGTTACATTTTAAAGGAATTTTCCCCTAGATTCTATAAACCTCTTTACAATGCAGCCAATAGTCAATTTATTATTTTTCAATGACGTTAAACACATCGACAATGGTTATTTTATGATATTGGCCCTTATCTCTTTACAAATCAACCAGAGAAAAATATATAGATAGAGCTCAGATTTTACTGTCACCAAACAAAATTCTAATTCAAAAATTTTGTAGGAAGAAGGAACATTTATGATTATAAACTTTTGATTTCTGTATTACTTTATTTTTTATTTCCTATTAAATCATCAGGAAAAAAAATTAAAGATGACTAGAAACAAACATTGGCTTTAAAAAATACTAACTGCAGATATATTTAACTCAGTATTTGTATTCCTTCCCATTTCATCATTTTTAGCTTTTACAATGCAGCTGGAGAACTGAATAAACCAATGTTGAAGAAAATATTATCAGGATGCAAAAAGGTATTTTGTATTTAGATTTAATAGTATTGCATAAGCATATTCAGAAACAATTTTATTTAAAGACATCCCCAGTACTCCATGTATGGTTGATTGATGTGATTAGATTGAGCTTATAAACAATGTTGCCTCAGCTACGTTGGTGGGACTTGTTTCCAGATATATATGCCTAAAATTACAGATATTTGATCTATTTGTACAATTCCTCAAAAGGAATTGTATTTGACACCACTATCAGAATTTTTGTACTTTGATCATGGAATGGACCATACTTGTAGTCCTCGACTTGCGACCACAATTAAGGCTAACATTTCTGTTGCTAAATAAGAGAGTTGGGGTTCGCTGGCAGCAGGAGCGGACGGCTGAGGTATCGGAGAGCGAGGACTTGGACGAGGGGCCTGCATGTGATGCAGAGATGGGGCCAGGACTATCAGAGAGTGGGGTGCTGCCTTCGGAGGTTGCGGAGTCTCACAGCAATGATGAAGAGGACTCCGGGAAGCCTGTGCTCAGTGTGCATGCACGTAGGGCTGCTCGAAGGAAAGAGCAGCTGAAGCAGCACTGGCGACTCAGGAGTAAGGCTGGAAGGTGATGGCCCCTCCCATAAGGGATAAAAGCCAGCCTTTAGGGTTGGCTTCTTTGCAGGAAGCAAAGAAGTTCTTTCTACTCAGAGTTCTCATCAAAGCCCTGCTTACTCTGGTTTATTTTTGGAAACTTCTGGCTTTGGATATTTATCTGCAATTAGTGTTTTGTTCTTGGCAGCCTTTCACAATCTTGAAAGGACTTGCACTTATCTGGGACAATTAGTTTTGAATGATTCTTGGCTGTGAATGCACAGAATTCACAGCTCCGCATTAAAAGGGTTTGCTTTTATTCATACTTTGTGTTTGTTTGATTTGGACACGGCTTGGGTCAGAACAGTTGTTCGGTGAGTTTCATCCCCACCCCACCCCAATTTTACCACCTTTCTTGCCACATTTTTAAAGAGATTAACTGCAGTTGTTAAGGTTGTTAAATAAATCTGACTTCCACATTGACTTTGCTTGTCAAAAGGTTGCAAAAGGGGATTATATGAGCCCAGGGCACTGTAACCATCATAAATATGAAGCAGTTGCCAAGTGTCCAAATTTTAATCACATGACCATAGGGGTACTGCAACAGTCTTAAAGAAACAGTCACTTTTTCCAGTGCCATTGTAACTGTTGTAAGTCGAGGACTAGCTGTATTTAACTGCTTCTGAATTAACACAGACTAAGCAATCTGATTCCCTAGATTGTGTACTTCTACAAGCTGCCATGGTTCCAAGAAATGCTGCCAGTCAATTCAAGACTCTGAGGCTGTGGCTTTTCTCAAAGATCCTGTACATCATATCAGCATCTTCAAATATGAAACCAACTCTGAATAATTCCTGTGCTTTGGTATAATTAAAGAATAGATATTGTCCACCTGCTTGGTATCACAAGTCATGTTAACCAACCAAGCAGGCGACAAACTTCTCATCACTCCTTCCTGCCGTTGCTAGGGCACGTTCAACTGACCTTGGTTCTCATGGGCCTTATCACTGTTATGTCTAGCACTGTAGAGGAAAACATTCTACATTCTTCACATTCTCCTCACATACATGGCAATTTAGAAATGAAGCAAAGTCAAGTATGGCTTCAGTTAGACTCATTTCACGAATTGACACAAGCTTCTTGTTACCTATAATAACCATTATATTTCTTTGGCTGAATTTTTGTCCCATATATATATGTATATGTGGATCTTTGGTTGTTCGGGTTTTCTCCCGCGTAAGATTCGAAGTATCTAGGCAACGTTTCAATGAAGTCTCATTCATCATCTTCAGGCTTCTGTCTTCGGCTCTTGCTTCTCAGAGTGATGTGAGATTGCAGCTGCTTCTTCCTTTTAACTGCTAGTGGGGGTGGGACTTGATTGGGTGGGGACTTGGCTGTGTTCTGATTGGGTGGGGGTGTGTTCTCATTGAACTCATGAACAGACGAGTACCTAACATGAAGAATGGCACCAGACCCACACCCATGAGAGCCACACAAGATGCCACCACCACACTTCCATGTAGAAAACAGACTCACATCCACTCAGAAGATGAGACACGACCATGGACCAAAAGCTGCACTGCAGCTGCATCACTACCAACTTCAAACCCCTCTGAGCCATACATGAAGCAAACCGACACCCACTATGAAGATGCAGCACGACCACGAACTCGAAGCCAAACAGCAAGATCACAGCTCACCAACTCAAATCCCCCAGCAACTAAGACTAACCTGAGCACTACCAAGCCCCCACCTGAACAGAACACGCCTCCAACCAATCAGAACACGGCCAACCCCCCAACCAATCAGAACACAGCCAAACCCCCTACCAATGAGAACACACCCCCACCCAATCAGAACACAGCCAAGTCCCCACCCAATCAAGTCCCACCCCCACTAGCAGTTAAAAGGAAGAAGCAGCTGCAATCTCACATCACTCTGAGAAGCAAGAGCCGAAGACAGAAGCCTGAAGATGATGAATGAGACTTCATCGAAACATTGCCTAGATACTTCAAATCTTACGCGGGAGAAAACCCGAACAACCAAAGATCCACATACAAATACCCGCGAGAACCTCAGAAAATATATATATATATATATAAAACTTTTTAGCATCCTTAAGTTAGAATCTAAGTTAAAATGTGTATGTATAAAATTTAAAAAAGGTGACTTTGAAATAAGTATTGTTAAAAATAATTACAAATTATAACCAGTCTTAAAATAAAGGCAGGCATAAAAGCTGGGGCTTTTATGTGAGTCAGTTCCTTATATGATGCAACAAATTGCTTTGAAACTTATTAGCCATTACATGTTTTTTACTCTCATAAATTTTGCATTTTGAGTTTTTTAGATGTTATGTTAGATGCAAAGTCACCGTTGAAAGATGAGTAGCTATATAAATAGATTGGGGGGAAAACATACATGTATACAATGTTTTCCTGAAAATAAAGACCTGGTGTTATATTTTGGGGGGTTCCAAAGTAAGTACTTACTTTGGGGAAACACAATTTCAGGGTGATCAGCCCAGCTGGGTGCCACATATACCCCTAGTGCATGCCTCCCCCACTTCTGCCTCCGCCTGCTGCTTGGACAGGTAATCAACTCACCTGCACTGCACGGGCTGCGGCTGCTGCCAGACACCATCGACCCCCACATGCACCCCTGTTTGCTAGGGATTCGGGGGGGGGTAGGGCTTATATTAGGTGCACTTTAAAAAAATCATGCTAGGACTTATTTTCAGGGCATAGCTTTTGGGGAAAACACGGTGTGTGTGTGTGTGTGTGTGTGTATATATATACTCAATTGCAAAATATAAATAGGAAACTAGGCAAATTAGTACATTTTTAGAGCCAGCAATTTTTGTGAATTTCTTTGAAAGACTGCGTTAGATATTTATAATTACTGGATTCATTTATCCTAGCTGTATTATTAATTCTTGTGGTGACTCATGGATTAAAATGTTAAATCGTGGTTCTTTTTCTTCATCTTCTCTTTGAAATAATAACACATTTATGTGTAGCTTTTTTTTTTTTTAAAGAACGTGATAGGTTGGTACAAGCTCAGGCGTAATACTGACCAGACAATGACCTTCAGAGAACAGCTTCTTCACCAGCACTTACAGTCACACTTATCAAATCCGGATCTTGTGTTCCTGTTACTCACTTCCAACGTAACCTCCTCAAGTTCATCCACTTACAAATTTGAATATGCCTTGCATAAGCCACAAGAGGGGTAAGTAACAAATCTTGCACAATTTCTTTTCATTCAGTTCCACATTCATTCTGGTTAGAAATAGCATATTTCGACACAGTAGCATGATCTGGGATTAATACCGTGTAACTCAAGATAGAGAACTAGATCAGTGCAATGATTAGACCACAAGATTAGAAACTGAGTGTGTGTGTGTTTTAGTCCTGTTTTAGGCACAAAGCCAGGTGGGTGACCTTGGTACCACTCTCTCAGACCAAAGACAAGGTAGAACATTTATGGAAATCTTGCCAAGAAAACTGCAGAGACTTGTCCAGACAATCACCAGGAATCAAGACTGATTCGAAGACCAGTTGTCTCTCTCCCCCGCCTCCCCATAAGTTAGATCTATGCATTCCCTGTTTGAAATTATAACGAAAATTACTCATTTCAGTTAACCCTTTCATATTTTACTTTTATCATCTCTAGTAACAATAATCATCTGACTTCTTACAAAAATTAAAATCATAAATGATGAAATAAAGCCCGTAAATTATTTTATCTGCCTATAACCAGAGTCCAAACTTGGCAACTTTTTAAGACTTGTGGAGTTCAACTTCCAGAATTCCCCAGCCTTCTCGTTATCAAGGCCTATGCCCTCTTGCCATTGTTATAGGAGCAGCCAGTTACTTTTGTTGCTATGCAAAAAAAAAAAAAACCAAAAAGTTTTCGTCTCCAAAGGTAGAAAAGAGTTTGCAAAACTCCCATGGTCCTTGGAGATAAATAACAAATTACACATGACAAATAGTAATTTTATTTATTACTGAATAAAATCTCCAGTATCTCTAATTATGTACTTGGGGTTTTCTGTAGGCTTTTTCAGAAAGTGCCAGTCGTCGTAGCCAATCTAGGAATGGCAGAACAACAAGGTTATCGAACTATACCTGGTTCCTGTATCTCTTCAGGCTTTTGTAAAGTGATGGCAGAACACAGGTAGGAAAACAGCCTTCTCCTCTTTTGCATGGTATTCTCAGTTATACTTTACATAGATTTCAGAATTAGGTAGTTTAAAAGAAAATGTACACCCCATGGTGCCATTCTATATCATCAATAGCTGTGATGGCGAACCTATGGCACAGGTGGTACGCAGAGCCATTTGTGCCTGCACGCGAGCTGCAGGCAAACTCACATCACTGCGCACGCGCCTCACAGCTGATTTTCGGCTGGTTTGAGGCCTTTTTTGGCCTCTGCAGGCTTTTCAACTAGGCCCGTTTTGTCACTTCCTGTTTTTCCAGAGATACCGGAAGTGACAAAACGGGCCTAGTTGAAAAGCCTGCAGAAGCCTTCCTGAAGCCTCTGGGAGGCCAAAAAACCTCAAACTGGCCGAAAATCAGCTGTGAGGACAGTGCAGGTGAGGGGATGGGAATCGCATGTGCATGTGTAGGGGGCATGGGAAGGCCGCATTGCCTTCTGTGTGCTGGCACCTGAGTGACAGCATCCAAATGCGTGCACAATTTTTGGCACAGGAGCCCAAAAAGCTTAACCACCACTGATCTATAGGATTTGGTCAAAATGTTCTAAATTTGTAACAAGAAAACGCCTGTTCGGGGTTTCAGCTATGCTTCCCTTCAGAATACTCTAAACTATAAAATATTTAACAAAGCCTATTCACAATCCAGCCGTGATTTTCAAGTGTTCTTTCTCAATTCAGTGGCTTTTTGTGCTAGAGCATGAAAACATCCCAATTGCTGTTTTTATATTCTACTTCAACATCCAACTGCTTGTCCTTTTCTCAGCAGTTTTGTTGTAAACTCATTTCTACTATATTGAATACCTGATTTTAAAACACTGAAAAAGTTGCTTAAGACTGCTGGAATTTTGACTCCATATGGCTGAATACTATTGGATGTTTGAAATTACTGTTTGTCTTAACTTTTGTTATGTTGATATGATAGCCTTTAACTGTTTTGTTTTTAACTCGACTATTTTGAAAGCACCTGGTGGCAGTTTCTTATTTCAAATAAAGGTTTGTTAGCCTGTATGATTAGATTTTCAAATATCCTCATTTCAGTACTGTATTTTCTGAAAATAACAGATTAAAAATAGTACATGCTAGATCTTTTTTTATATCAAAGGTCAGAATTCTTTAATGAAGATGGGTCTCTAAAAGAGGTTCATAAGATTAACGAAATGTATTCTTCTTTGCAGACAGAATTAAAGGTAAGTTATGAATACCTATTTTATGACTTTTAAGCATCAGGGGAAAATTTGAAACACAATCGTTAATTAATCTCAAACAAATATTCAAGAAAATATTACTTATTAGGATATCATAGATAAGGAAAAATCCAAATACATGTATTATAAGTTTTGCCAGGTTCAGCTCATCATTGACTTACAACCAGTTGCTTAGCAGCCATTCAAAGTTACAATGGATGCACTTTAACATGTACTCAAGACTCAGTGGCCACTCCCCACACAGTCACCTGACTACAGTGGGCGCTTGGCAAGCAGCCTGCATTTACTTCCATTTGCAATGTCCTGCAGTCACATGATCTTAAGTTATGATATTTTTGCTGAAAAATGGTATTTATTTCTGGTCTCCAGCAAAACCACCCACAGCAAAACAATGCGCTTGCTTAATGACCACCACAAAAAAGGTCATTAAAAATGAGCAGGTCATATGATGACTGTTTTACAACTGTCATGACTTATGACCATAACTGGCAAGCTTCCTTACAATCATAAATCAAGAACTACCTACTATATATGACATTGTTTTGAAAATACAGTCATCGTGCAAAAACACGCCCATAATTTAAACAAATTGTGGTAGTTATGCAGCCTCAAGCTAAAAAAGATTGCACATTCCTATGAAGGATATAGGAATTAGGGTAATGTAGAATTAGAAAGCTACGCTTAAACATGTTTTGATTGCTGATTTTAAAAAACCTTGCATTCCAACCTTGCATTCTTTTTCTCTTGTTCTAGAATCTGTGCAATAAAGTAGCGGATAGTGAAAAATCAGTAGAGAATCTATTATCACAAATAGATCAGCTGAGACAAGAAGTAAGAAGCAAAAAAGAACAAGAGAAAACTACAGGTAAAGTAGCTTATTGTGCCTAAAAAAGCTGAAGTCCTTCAGGCCTTTAAAACATACTACCGTGTTTCTCCAACAATACGCCTCCCCCCAATAGGAGGTCCCAGCAGGTTTTCTAGGCATAAAATGAAGCCCCGCCCCCAAATTTAGGCCTATTTTAAAACATACGAAATGGGGAAGGGCGGGGGGGACTTGCCGTTAGAAGCGCCTCGCAGGCAGCCACGCCTCGCCATCAGCCGCTCCTAATGGCCGATCATGGTGGAATGCGGAGGGCTCCCTACCCCGCCAAGCGCTTTTGCTGCAGACCTGGGTCAGCAGTCGCATGGATGTCCGCTGGCAGCCTCCATAGCTTCCACAGTTCCTGCTGGCGCTGGTGCCTCGCCAGCGCCATCTCCCAACAACAGCTGCTTTTCCCCCATCCCCATAACAACAGGGGGGAAAAAACATTTTTAGGTAACTGGGAGCGCCGCATGGTGCATTTTCGTTTAATCCTGAGTGGCTGGTTGGGTGTGAGAAGAGCCGAGCGTCTCTGCTGCTGCTACCCTTATTGCTCCATCCTCGGGCTCTGCAAGTTTCCAAAAGTCCTGGTGCGCAGCCCGTTTCTGCATTCCAAGCGTGCCCAGGCCAAGCTGCAGCTGGCCCTCTCTTGCCAGCGCCATCTCCAACAATAGCGGCGGCAGCGGCAGAGATGCTCGCTCGGCTCTTCTCATGCCCAACCAGCCACTCGGGATTAAACAAAAATGCACTGTGCGGCGCTCCTAGGTACCTAAATGTGTTTTTTTTTCCCCCTGTTGTTGCAGGGACGGGGACAGGGAAAAGCAGGAGCAACTCAAGACACTGTTGTTGGAGATGGCGCTGGAGAGAGAGGCGCCAGCGGGAACCATGGAAGCTACGGAGGCCCAAGAAGCAGCTGAAACACTGCTAATGGATATCCACGCTGATGCTGCCCGCCCACTGACCCGGATCTGCAGCAACGGTGCTTGGCGGGGGTAGGGAGCCCTCTGCGCTCCGCCATGATTGGCCATTAGGAGCAGCTGGTGGTGAGGTGTGACTGCCTGCAGGGCGCTCTAGGTGAGGGTGCGCAGGGGGGAGAGAAATTAATTCAACCCCCAAAAGATGTCCTAACCATTTTGGGGGGCTCAAAAAAAATAAGACCCAGCCTTATACGAGAAACACAATATAAGTTTATTGTATAGAGAATTTTCTTAATTCATCTTTATTCTTTAATGGTTTTGCTATAAAAGACCTGCATGGTTATCTCCCTTATTTTTCCTCAACAAAACGTGGACAAGCTGTAATTTTAAAAATTGTTATTTGATATTAAATAAAGCACTTCCAAAGATTGTTTGTGAAAAGAGCCATTTTAATAAGCTCTGGTTCATAAGTTGAGATTTCCAGTGGCTTTTATTTTTATAAATCCAATAAAGGATTTTACAAACGATACATGGGTTTCTATGTGCATACGTACAATATGTATGTATATATCACAAACAATGTAAGAAGTCAAGGGGTAGCCAGGTATATTGTACGTTCTGTAATATATAGCCAGGCAGAAAAATAATACAAGATTTCATTCTTTAGCTACTTATTACATGTCATCAGAAAAGTGATTTAAAATAAAATCTTGATTTGTTAAGGAAAGTAGAAAAATAATTTAAAATGTTGAAATTGGTTTGGGAATTTCTACAGCATTTTAAAATTGTCGTCAATTGTTGAACAAACTTAAGTTCAAATTACAATTCCTGTCTTGCCAACTAACGAGGAAACTACAGTATTCCAAGTCAGTTGGAAAAAGTCAAGGAGAGCTACATCCTCACTAAATAAAAATAGCTTTATATGAAACCCCGTTCCTTCATACAATATACCCTATGTTCTTATTTGGGCATTAATATACATTGTTTATAAGGGGAAATATTGCTGCTTTTCAATTGATATATTCAGCCTTTTTTGGTCTTTCCATCTAATGAAAATATCCTCTCGTCTGACTTTTTTCTCCCCGCTTTCTCTTTACCTCTTAGGAAAGGATAGAAATCACTCAGATGAGCCCAAAGAGAATATTTTTCTCTGTCAAGCTTTGCAGCACTTCTTCCCAAATTCTGGGCTGCAGACAAACACAGTTACATTTAAAGGAAGGCAGATTTCTAAGCAGGGATGCACTGCTGATCACAATATCCAAATCATGGACCAATTAACTTTAATGATCAAAGAAAATAATTTCCCTGAAACGGAAACTAGGCAAGCATCAAAGCGAAAAGCCATTGTGAACGCAAGTGGGCCAAAGGCATGCAAAAGACTGCGCTCTTTCCACCTTAATCAGAAACTATTTCAAGAAGACCAGGAAAACAGTGACCAAGAATTAAATGTTAAGAGTAACAACAACGCAACTGAAGATGTGACACCTTGATGGGCACATACTATCTTCCAACTCTTTAATCCCTTCCAGTGGCAAAGGGTTTTATTTCTTATTCTCACCTCATCAGTGCTGCTGGTATTATTAGCACACTTCATTAATACGTGGAATACTTGAGTCAACGTTTTGGAAATAAAACCTCACCTTTTTAAATCATCATTCTTACAACATGGATCAAGTTTCAAGTTGCTTTTTCCTCACTAAATCTTAAAATTGCTTACTCTCTTGGAGGGTATAGCAGGAAACAGCAAAGACCAAGAACCTATCTGTTGTTTGTAGTAAAAACTTTATTAAGAATGCAATGTTATTTAAATAGCAAAGCTGGTTTTGAAGTGAAGTGTTGATCCCAGAATCAAACACTTTAGGGAAAAAGACCAATCTATGAATTCCATTTAGTTTTTGCTTTACACTGTGTTTGAATACTTCAAATTTCTACAATCTTATTATGTATTTCAGCTAAAATATGTAAGTAAAATTTGTGTTAGGGAATGAGCCCAAGAGATGCTAATTCAAAATAGGGATACAGTATTGGTAGGTTAAAAGGTTTACTTTCTATGCTGTATCAGAAGCAACTGCATTCTGATAAGTTCAAAAGACCCCATACAGGTTGAAGCACTACAAAGAGACATTCTCTCCTGACAATGCTACAGTTTATGATCAATTTGTCGTCAGAATGAATGAAATAATACTCTCATCATGGACACATTGATAGCTCATTTATTAACATTCTAATAATATAGTCTAATTACAAAAATGGGCTAGGCATAATTGATACAATTTATTCTGGATATTTAATATTACATATTTTGGGGTCATTGCGAAACACTGGGTCCTTATGCATAACCGACATAAATCCTGTAAAAGAATAATTAGGTTTTAAAAACAAAATGTTTTTATAAATCATCCAAACGTATGACTATTTTATAATACTTACCCATGCAATGAGCTCTTTTAATGGCTTTTGCCATTTCATTTTGTTTCTTTTTACATAAGCCTAAGAAGCAAACACATAGTCATTCAAAAAATAATTTCAAAAATATTAATTGCTTAATTTCATTACAGACTTAAAAAGTATTTTAAGTAAATGTTTTACTTTCTTATTTTAGAAAGCATATACTTTGGCCGGTATAACTCAGAATGAGTATCAATAATTTAAAATTCTTATGTTAAAAGTACTGAATGATATTTCATGATTTGGTTTCGATATGAGTAGTTATAATTCTGCTAAAACTGGTTTTTTTTGTACATACCTGTTATATGATGACCAAATATGTGACCAGTGTATGGAGAAATAAACTGTGATAAAAGCTGTTGGAGAAAATTAGTTGGTTCAGTCTTCAAAGCAGCAAGAAAATTAAATAAAATTAATACTTTTGGTAGCAAATATTTGCAATTGGATAATATTTCCTAGTTGTTTAAACAAAACGACTGCATTGGTGTAAACTCATATTTTATTGGAAAATCTAAAACCATAACTTTTGGTTGTTTTAACTATTTAGTCGTGTCTGGCTCTTGGCAGCTTCATAAGCAAGTGTTATCCATGCTACTCTGTCCAGCACAAATTCTTTCAGTTGTTGGATGTTCCTCTTTGTACCAGTTTTAATGTTATCAATATTAGGAGTCAAATTGTTGGGGGCAATATGCTAACTCTGTAAACCGCTTAGAGAGGGCTGTAAAGCACACTGTAAAGCAGTATACAAGTCTAAGTGCTATTGCTATCAAGCCAGTGTGTTCTTTGTTTGCCCCTTCTTGTTCCACTAACCATCCCTAGCATCATTTCTTTCTCCAATGAAATTTCCATGCATGGCCTGGCCGAAGTAAATCAGATGTAGTCTTATGATTTTAGCTTCTAGTCATGCATCTGATTTTATACTGCTCTGTTAGTTACTATGGCTGCCCATGGTATACACAATAACTTTTTACCTGTGTAATTAAAATATGCAGTTTGATTTGGAACATTGGGGTCGATTATAGCATAGAGGTTTGTTGTGTAAAATGCACCCTATCAAACTAGATACACAAGTGGGAGTAGAGTCATATTCCATTGTTTTTAACCATGGTTTTCTGATTTAGCAAAAATTGTCAAGGTAATTCTTAATAGTAAGAAAGTGGGTACGCGTTGGTATAACCCTTAAGAGTCACTACATCTAGCCAGCAAGAAATGTACAACAATAATTGAGCTATGGCAGTTATTAAGTGGGTTGCCACATAGCTGCACTCCAAACTATGTCCTTTTTTGCAGCAGTCATTAGGTGAACGCTGTGGTTGTTAAGTAGACTCTTTTTCACCAGTGGGCAATTTTTGCCAGAAACTAGAAGTAAATGCTGGAAGCTGGCAAAAACTATATAAAACTGCAGTCATGTGACTAGGGTGTGTGTGTGCACATAAGCTTGTGCAGCTGTTAGAACTTTTTTAAAAAAGCAGGTTATAATTGGAGCGATCTGTCTTAACTCTTTTTTAATAATAAAGTTATATACACACATACACACACATATATATATAATTTCAATTGAACCATGCGTTGCCTGGATACATGTTATTTTAGAAAATAATGATCAAAATATTTACAGCAATAGTCATTACATTGATATTAATTCTACAGTAATAATGTTTAATCTGAAATGTTCACCAGGCAATTGGTTGTTTAGCAAGGCCTGCCTGCAATTTGTTATGCTACAATACACAGTTTGTCTACCTTCATTTTTCCATACCACGAGGAGTACCTAGATTTGTACCTAGATTTAAATAGGTTTTTTTAATTATTTAAATTTATTATACCTATCCCAGCACATCCTGCACTGCTTACAAAATATAATACTAAATTAAAATAATTAAAAACAGACAAAAGAACACATGATAACCCCTAAGTAAAAAAAATGAATAAAATAAAACATGAAGAATATCCAGAAGCTTCAGCTGGTGCAGAACACAGCTGCATGGACATATATTTGGATGGTGGGAGCTGTTGCTACAATGGCCCATGTTACACCATTGTTTTGCGAGCTGCACAGGTTGCCAATATGCTGCTGGGTACAATTCAAGATGCTGGTTGCAGCCTTTAAAGCTCCTCGTGGTATGGATCCAAGTTACCTGAGAAACCAACTCATCCCGATGAAGTTAGCCCATCCCACCAACACCAGCAAAAGTGGTATGTTGGGGACCCCATCAGCCAGGTAATTTCAGCTGGCAGGTTCCAGAAGACAGAAAGTGACTGGCCCAAAGTCACCCAGCCAGCTTTCATTCTTGAGGTCTACAACTCCCAGTCTCCCGGTATCTAGGTCAACACAATCTTGAAACAATTTTACCTGTTTCCTATAACATACACAGCATCAAACACAAAGTTACTAATTTACCTGTATATTCTTGTAGTCAACAGTTACACCACATAAGACACACTTTTTAGGAGGCTCCTTATAAGGGTTTTCCATTGGAACAGGCTGAAATGACAGAAAATTTAGTATATTTTTTTTCAGCTGTTCTGAAGTCCTTCAGCATCTTTTTGCACAAACTGTGCCAGCCCCACTAGATGGACCAGACCAGGAAATCAATCCCACAAGAGGGATAAAACTACTTTCATTTAGACTGGCTATAATGCCACAATATTGAGGTTGCAAAGTGGTGTAACTATAATGTCCTATATGTCTTTTTTCAATGCACTTATCTGCAATAACCTTTTAAATTTAGGACCAACTTTTCACAATTTTATTGGAAGAAATCAGAAACATAACCCCATTCTATTTGTAGATATTCTATACTGGTCCCTGTGAGTTATGGAAAGTGCAACCAGATTTTTTTAAATTAATAACATATTACAAGCACTTTACTGTATTAACTATATTCTGACACTCTGTCTCAAATATTTAACAATACATGGAATTTAAGTATGTTATAGTAATATCTTACCATATCTGCTTGATTGGATTTCTGTTCATTATATGAACTACTCTCTCGTTTCCATGATCTACCTGAAAAGAAATACAAAAGTAGAAACCTGTTAAACAATATGAATCAGCCAAATAACCGAACAGAAATGCCTAACTTTCTGAAGATCTCTTTCCTTTATGACCTTCTGCAAAAATACAATCTTGTCATCAATATTAAAAAACTGAGATGGACACATGAATGATGTATTTGAAACTAGCAAAAATGCTGAGAGTTCAGGCTTGCATTTAATCATATGGATAGCTCCATAAACAAAAAGTAATCCCATGCAAACTAGTGGAAGAATAGCCTGCAAAAAAGTAAGAAGTTTATCAGAGAAGGCTTGGCTTGCTCTGCTCCCAGCCATATTGGGAGAAATTCCCTCCAGAAGCATTATTAAAAAGAACTGATGGAGGAAGACTGATGGAGGAAGAACTGATAGCTGTCTTCACTACAGATACTAAGCTCATAGAGTGTGATCTAATTCTCTTCAGTAAAGCTGATAGTCAGAAGGCAACTTTTAAAAACTAGCCAAAAATTTTACAAAGCTTATGTTTCAAGACTAAGCATAGAAAAGTTTGTGTCTGTTCCTCCAGCAATAGCAACAGAAATGGTTTACTTCATATTAGGCTTCCAAAAAAATTACTAACAGCTTTTATGGACAAATTAATGACTGTGTTATAGTAGCCATTTACTGTAAAAATGCATAACCCAAACAATATAGTTGAAAAATAATAGTATGTGAAATAAGAACAGTCCTTCTTGATCAATCCAATGTATGCCATGTAAAAAAAAAAAGCTGCGGAGAACAGAGAAAAGAATATAATATAAACTGCATAGTAGACCATATTTAACCCTAGTTAACCCTACTAACAATAAAAGCTATTTTATTATTCTATTACAAGATATGCCTCCCGCAAACGCTCATAACATCCAAAGTAGATAATTGTAACAGGTGTCAATTTGATGAAGTAATTCCCAAAATTCACATTTGGTCCTTTTTTATTTACAGTATCTGTAATTATTTATTATTTCATTTTTTTAAACTGCCCAATAGCCTAAGGAATCTAGCCAGTCTGCAATAAAAAGATACACTTTAACTACATATACATTAAAATTAAATGCAATGCAAAATGAAAATGACAGTTGCCAAGATGGTCATTCAAAATAATAATAAGGCCAATTAAAAAGCCTGAAAAAAATAGAAAAGTGGTGCTGAAATCATGCTTTAAAGCCAGAAATATTCCTGTTAGAAATATTTTAAGCTATGATACATAATATGTATTGGCAGCAGCGAGAATTGTATTTGCACAACATTGGGAAAATAAAAACACCCATCAGACAAAAACATAATTCAGAAAATATTGGACTGTGCAGAGATGGATAGATAGGCATTTAAATAAATGATAAGAGAGATACAGAGTACTACTCAACATAGGTTTTATCAATGGTTAGATATAATAGATGGTTAGATGAAAAAAGATTGCTATGTGCATGTAAAAGATGAACGTTGTCTAAGACTATAAGCATGCTAGTATAATTAACGTGAGCATAAATAAGCTAACATAACTATAAATATTGCTATAACTACTATGTATATATACTATGTATATGTATTTTGGCAAATTGAAATGCCTGGACAAATACAGTTTTCAATATATATATAATATATATAATATATATATATAAAAATACAAAAAGAAGAAGAAAGGATGAGCGAGTGCATCTCTTTTCTCAAATGCCTGAATTCTTTCGTTATCCTATCCTATCCTACATTAATTACATGAAAAAAGATTATCATTATGTTCCTCGCAGGTTCCGCAGGGCTGTTCTTGGCTTACCCGGGCCAGGCGCACAGATTCCGTTTCTTACAGCGACGAAGAGATAATAAAATCTCCCCGAAATCTTGGGAGAAGAAACCAAACTAACCACAGAAGCCATCTTTTTTTTTTTTTCCCCTTTGCAAGCTTCCGGGTACGAGAGTAACGTCCAATCAAGTCCCCCTCACAACACGTCCGGCTTGAGAAAAGAAAAGCTTTCAGGCCTTAACCGCGGCTGCTACGACGGCCAATAGAATTCGCTAGCGGTTAGCCGATCCTTTCAAAGAAGTTCAACCAATCCGGAAGCCTTTCGTCATAGCAGCACGTGATTCATCCCAGTTCTCTTTACTGTTTTTTGTTCGAACCCAAATCCATCAGACCTTTGCCGACATGGCCGCCCAATGCGAGGGATGCTGGGAGTTGTAGTTCACTTATCGGAAGCTCATGGGGTCCCCTTCAATAGGGGCGTGAGGGCGGTTAGTGCCTTTTCGGGGTCCCGGGTTAATGAAAACCCTCCACCCTTTTTCTAGTAGATGGTACAGTCCTCGCTCAGAGGCGGACGGTTCCTTTCCCGAAAAAAAGGGGGGAAATCAGAGAAAATGGAGTCGCTGCCTCTCGTAAGAAGCGGCCCAATTCTGCTCCTGCCCGTCTGGGGCAGCACCGGCTGACCCGGGAGGGTTGAGCCCGGCGAGGGCTATACCGCTTTTCCATGGAGGGCGGTGGGGCTGTCAGGAGAAGGACACAGGAGCGAAGGAGGCGGCGGCGACAGCGACCGGGCACAGGGGCGGATTCGCCCGGCATAAATTGCCGAGGCAGGTCCCGGTCGACTTCCCCGCCGGCCCGCAAGAAACTGAACTCGGACGAAAGCGAGGAAGAGCTCGAGGAGCCGAAGCCGGAGGTAGATACACAGCAGATTTGAGGCTGAGAGGCTCCATTATAACAGAGGAACAGGGTTGGAAAGGGACCTTAGAGGTCCTCTAGTCTAACCTGCTGCTCAAGCAGGAAACCCTACCCCATTTCAGACAAATGTTTGTCCAATCTCATTATTTATTATTGTTGTTTTGTTAATTTTTTTATTTTATTTTGTATTTTATTATCATCATCATCTGGCGCACATTCAATCAGATGTTCAGCCTGGATTTGGAATGATTGGCATTCTGAATAATTTTGTTGTTGTATGCTTGGAGTACAAGGAATTTATCTTTACAGAGGATAGGGCAACTTTAGGGGAAATTCAATGGGTGTATGATGTCTTTTCAATCCCTTATATGAAAGATCAGAATTTTGCTCCTGCTCAAGTTGGAACTTTATTGAAATAGCTGGCTCTTTCCAATATCCTTTTTCCTCATCTCCCCTTAAGCTACTATCACTGAGCATCAATGTGTGGCAAATCCAACTGGCACACCAGCTCCTCCCTGGCTCAAGTCTGCACGGTTTACTTAGTTGCATAATAAGATTAATGATGATAATAATAATGGGTAACCGGAGCATCGCTTGAACACCATAGGCATTGACAAATTCACCTTCAGTCAATTACAGATGGCCGCTTTACTCAGACCAGCTTACATCTCTTAACGCTATTGGAAGAAATAATCCATCTGTTTGAGGATGCTGTGGCTCAGTGGCTAAGACGCTGAGCTTGTTGATCAGAAGTTCGGCAGTTCAAATCCCTAGCACCGTGTAACGGAATGTGCTCCTGTTTACTTGTCCCAGCTTCCGCCAACCTAGCAGTTCAAAAACATGTAAAAATGCAAGTAGAAAAATAGGGACCACTTTGGTGGGAAGGTAACAGCATTCTGTGTGCCTTCGGCGTTTAGTCATGCCGGCCACATGACCACAGAGACGTCATCAGACAACACTGGTTCTTCGGCTTAGAAATGGAGATGACACCTCCCCTAGAGCTGAGAACGACTAGCACACATCCGTAGGGGACCCTTTACCTTTTTATCCATCTGGTCAGTTCCATGTAAGGGAGAAAGACACTGGAAACATGGAGGCTGATTGGAAAGATGGTTTATTGAGGGACAGAACCACATGTGTTTGAAGTCCTGGGCAGCTGATCACATGGAGTGGAGAGTGAAGGTTATTTATACCCTCTCTCGTGCCTTGCCCTTGAGCTTCCTGTTCCTGTGCAAGAACATGTGTTCTATTGGTTGTCAGACTCCCAGGGGGCTATGGAGGGATCGTAGCTAACTTTTTAGGTTGTCTGAATAAAGTTTGATTGAAGCCTGGACTCTGAGCTGATGTGATAAGGAGGCCTGTGTCCTGAAAGGTTGTTGGGCCATTCCGATTGTGTCTTAATGGCTTTCCTGGTTTGGAGTGTGGACTGATCGTACCATTCTACCCAATTCTGCCTCTGTTCAAAATATCCTGTCTTAAATGGATTACCAAATCTACATTTCTAAAAGCTTGTTTCCACTTAGTATCTGCTTGGGGCAGGAAACTGTGGCTCTGAGTTGCTGTTTCCTTTAAGTTTTGTTTCTCTTTTTGGGGAAATATAATATTCTGCCTTTTTAAATATTTCTCAAAGTATTTCATTCTTCTAGGAGCGGGGTGGGTGCTAACTTTCTACAACACCATAAAACATCACCTGCCTATCCCAGATCCTTGGGAAGGACTCTGTAAGTGGGTAAAAATGACAAATCTATTTCATCCTCATAGTTGTATCTGTTGCCAGAAGAATGAATATTTTATCATCCGAGATATAAATGCTTAGTATTAAGAAGTCCCATTCACCTTTTTTTTCTTTCTTTCAGGATTTTGACAGCGATGATATGTTTGCCGACTATGACAGCTTTTCTGCCAACAACTCTTTCTTAACTGAAATGGATGGTTTAGAGCAAAAGCACTTGCACTTTAGTAAGGATACTCTGGATTCTGACAGTTTAGATTGCAACCTTGCTGCGCGGCCTGTAGGTGGAGGTACTCAGATGACAAATGCCAGGAACCTGGCACAGGTATTTTCGGAGACAAACGCTGCGATTAGCTCCAGAGGCATACGAGAATATGATTCTTGGGAAAGGATGAAGGTGCAGGACAATAGCTCAGGGCCTCAGGATACTGATTTAGATAGCCTTCCGTCCTCCCAGCTTTTATTTCATCAACGTTCAGATGAATGTTCTCAGAAAGAAGCGGTCGTAAAAGAAATACCCTGTCAGCTGGACTTCTCACATCTGCCGTACCGCAGTGATTCAGAGAATAATAAACAAGATTGTAAGTTGGTGAGAACTGCTTTGTTTGACCCAGGTAGGCGAAAGAGTCTCAAAGACCATCTCAAAAGTGCCATGGCTGGGAATGCCAGATCCTCTACTTCGTTGGTTTCTAAAAGCAAACAGCTGAAAGAAGCTATTGTAACTGAAGAAATGGCTGTTGCAGAAACAACTGGCAGCTTGGCTTTTGTAGACATTGGTCCTTTCTACGGTTTACCCACGAAAGTCAAGGAGCTACTGCTACAAATCAGAGGAATTGAGAAGCTTTATGGTAATATCACCAATCTCTGCTGTGATCTTTGCTACTGTGATGAATTCCAGTTCAGGGCAATTTTTGCTTGTTCTATTTCTGAAACCAAATTATTTTACACATAGTCTTTGACTTACAACCACAACTATGATTACAGTTAACACAGGTTTGTCATTGTAGTGTCAGTTACATTTAAACATAATACTGATATTAATTTCATCATCATCTTTTAACGACCCCATAATCCCTTGCAGGGTGGAATCTGGGCAACTGAATGGAACTAGCAGAGTGTTTACTGGCCGGATGACCTTCCTGTCACCAATGCGGAGTTTTGTTCAGCAGATATATTCTCATTGCGCCCAGAGAGAGAAATATCTGTCTCGACCTAGGATCAAACTCGCAGCCTCCTGATTGTAAGGCGAAAGCTCCACCTCTAGGCCACTGTACCACTTCCACATTAATTCCATAATACTGACATTCATTTCATATATGTACTACAGTAATGCTTCAGTAGTTTTTTTTAAATGTTTCCCAGGTACTTATAAAATAATACCATTTATAAGTGAGCTTTTGTCAAAGGTCCTGAAGTTTGCCAAGTTTTCTTAGAATCCCCAAACAGATTAATTTTCATCATGAATCACTCTGAATGCTAACCCAGAAAGGGAAGACTATAAGAAATGTCTTTTTAATTTTACAGACTGGCAGCATGATTGCTTAATGTTTGAATCCCTGCAAAAGCGAAAGAACTTAATATATTCCTTGCCAACCAGTGGTGGAAAAACCCTTGTCGCTGAAATTTTAATTCTTCGAGAATTACTCTGCAAACAAATGGATGCTTTGATGATCCTGCCTTACGTGGCTTTAGTCCAGGAGAAGGTGCGAAGACCAGCTTTGATATTCATCTACCTCATGGCATTTGATTAACTCCCATCCACAGGGCTCCAGTTGTGGTAGGATAAAATGCTCGGTTTGCACAGCTGAGATTTCAATTTGGTAGTCCAGGTAGTCCTTGACTTAGAGCTATTCATTTAGTGACCATTAGAAGTCACAACAACACTGTACAAATGGACTTACGGCCATTTTCCGCACTTATGACTATTGCAGTATCCCCATGATCACATGATCAAAATTCAATTGCTTGGCAACTAACTCATATTTATGATGGTTGCAGTGTCCTGGGGGCCATGATCCCCTTTTGTGACCTTCAAAGTCAGTGAGGAAGCCATGTTCACTTGACAATCATACTTAACAACTGCAGTGATTTCACATAACGGCTATGGCAAGAAAGGTCCTGAAATGTGACAAAATTCACTTGCTTAACTACCTTGCTTAGTGATGGAAATTTGGGGCTCCATTGTGGTCATAAGTTGAGGACTACCTGCACTGGAGTTCGGGAGGCTGACAACCGAGGAAATGCCTACATTTCATGTGCTGTTGTGAAATTGAATCAATGTAAAGTTAGCCTCAGTGGCACAGTGGTCAGAGTGCAGTACTGCAGGCTACTTCTGCTGCCTGCTGCTGCCTGAAATTTGGCAGCTTGAATCTCACCAGGTTCAAGGTTGACTCAGCCTTCCATCCTTCTCAGGTGGGTAAAATGAGGACCTAGAGTGTTGGCAATGTGCTGACATTGCAAACTGCTGAGGTGCAGTGGTCAGAGTGCAGTACTGCAGGCTACTTCTGTTTATTGCCGGCTGCCTGCAATTTGGCAGCTCGAATCTCATCAGGCTCAAGGTTGAGTCAGCCTTCCTTCCGAGGTGGGTAAAATGAGGATCCCTGATTGCTGGGGGCAAGAGGCTGACTCTGTAAACCACTTAGAGAG